TCTGTTGAAGGTGCAGGTGGGAAAGGCCACTGGGAGTGTAATAATGTGAGCAGTATGCACGCAACACAAAGTGGATTTTCTTTTTTTGAGGTCTTCACAAAGGTGGGCAGGATGGACCTGGGAGAACTGGAGAGTGAGTGAGATTTGGATGTATGACATGAAACTTCCAAATAATGAATATTATGTTGGAGGGGGGAGAAAAGAAGAATCTGAAAAAAATAAACTCACCAGGTAGCCAACCAATCTGTGAGCTCCATTCAGTGAGAGACCCTGTCTCCAAAACTAAGGCAGAGCACATTAAAAACAAGTGATGCATGTATGCGTGCGCACACATGCACACACACTCGCGCGCACACACACACAGACACACACACAGACACACACACACACAAAATACCAAACCAGGAACACAGGATGGACAGCAGTTGACAGCTGGAAATCTAGGCTTTGTTTCATTGTTTGTGAGCTGCCAACCTCAGACCTCAAGTACTAGGAATTACAAGAAAGTACCACTGCACTCAGGTAAAGAATACAGGTTTTTAAGGTGCTTCAAAAAATCAAAGTAAGGTCAGGTATGGCAGCACACAGGAGGCAGAAGCGGGCAGATGAGAGTTTAAGGTCAGCCTGGACTACTTAGTGAGTTCCAAGCCAGCCAGGGCTACAAAGAGAGACTGACTCATAAACAAACAAAAAACAAGTGCATGGATGATCTCTCTCTCTCTCTCTTCTCTCTATCTCTCTCTCTGACAAAGGTCTTACTACAAGTCTCAACAGAGCTTAGGTCCTATAAATAGAGAGTCAAAAAATCCCCACAAGCATTTGCTCACACTAGAAGGCTTGGAGCTAGGAAGCCCTGAAACTAACTTGCCAACAAATTCACCAAGGGCCCAGGCCCCTTGCCCTCCTGCTCACTAGATGAAGTAACTGTCTTGTGTGATCCAAAAGTCTTTACATATACAAACTACTAAGCCTACAGAGTATACAACCATACAAAAATCCCTCAGTGAAAACACCTTTAAGACACCAGGCCTGGAAAGATCTCCACTGAAAGACTTTGGGTGCAGGTGTCTGTTTCTCTATTCCCTCTGAGGGATGATGCATAGAAGGCAGAGCTGAACCAGGAACAGCAGCGCTACCTTCCTGTCACCCCTCATCTGACCGGATCTGCTCTCCCAGTGCTGCCTTGACAAGAAAGGTCCTCAGCCTTTCCCAGGCTTGCAAAGCCAGTCCCTCCAAATCCAGTACAAAAGCTGAAGGACAGACACCCTAGCAGAATGCCATTCCATGGCAGTCTGTAGTATTGAGGCAATCAGTTGTCATTTCCTTGGCATAATAAGACAAAGTGATGTAATGAAGTGCTGTGGCTGAAAACTGAAGTTAACAGGCTGGGGACATGGCTCAGTATGTGTTAAGTATATACTCGAAAGGACCCGAGTCCAGATCCCTGGCACCCATGTAAAGAATGTGGCGAGTCGCCTGTATTCCCGGGGTGAGCTAGTGTGTGCATAGGGGTGTATGGGGAGGAGTTGCTGGAACCTGCTGGCTAGTTAGCCTTAGCTTAGCCAAATCTCTAGGTTCAGCAAACCCATGCTCAGTGACAGATCCTGTCTAAAGGGAGAATAAGCAAGCAATGTTTTTCTCTGGCCTCTGCATGGGTCCACAGAGGCACACACAAGAAAAGAACAGAACAGAATGAAGTTAAAGAAAGATTTTGTTGGCTCAGAATAAACAGGCCAAACTCACCGAGAAACCAAACCATCCCTGAATCTACAGAGCACATTCATTCCTCCAAGAAAGGAGGTTCCCCCAATACACCCCCGACTTTTTTTACACAGCTCACTTTCCTTTTTTTCTTTCAGGCCTTCTCATTTATTTCCAGATTCTTCCAATGGGCTGCAGGTAACTCTGCCCTAGGAAACCAATAGCAAGAAAGAGGAAGGGAAAAGAGACAGAGAACACACAATTTCAGGCCACAGTGGCCCTCTGCTGCTCCTGTGAGCACTGTTCTTTTCCATAACGGAGAGTGTGGTTGAGGAGAGGAGTAGAGAGGAAAGCTAAATAAAATAGGTCGCTATATTTCTGCTGACCCCAGAGCATTGCTAGCTAACATTCCAGAGGTAGAAATGTCTTGAAAGGTCTGCCAACTTCCATTTAAGATGGTGGAGAAAGAGACTGGGTAGTGATAAGACTACTACTAAGGCTACCCTCTGACATGAATTGGCTGTACAATACTAACTAACCAGTAAATTTCTTTGGGTCTCAGGGCCATTTGATCCTAAAGTGAACACATTATGGTCCTCCAGCTAACAGGACTAGTATACAAGAAAGCTCAACTATTGGAACAAGCTCACCTTCCGTGAAAGCAGCAGCAGCTTGTACTGGAAGAAGGGATGACCACACATCGCTCCACGGGTAGACAAGAGAAAATGAAACTGGCTTTCCTGTCCCTGAATAATGAGCAGAATCCCCTCACACCAGCAAAGCAACACAAGATGTCTCAAAACCCACCCAACCAAATCATTCTAAAGGGGAAAAAGTTAGTACATTTTATACCTAAACACCACAGAACTACCTGCTATAAAAGACTGGTTAGCAGGTTGTGGTGGCTCATACTCTTAATCCCAGCATTAGAGAGGCAGAGGCAGGTGGATTGCTCAATTTGAGCCTGGCCAGGGTTATACTATCTTTAAAAAAATAAAGGGGGGGGGGGAATGGAAAGAAACTCAGTTCTAACCTACAAATGCTATCTCCTTACAAACAGAAAACAAGCTCCCTTGATTCAAAATCCCAAGATGCTAGGCACAGTGGCCCCTTAATGCCACTACTTGTGAGGCAGAAGCAGGCAAATCTCTGTGGGCTCCAGGTCAGCTGGGGACACACAGTGAGACCTCACCTCCAAACAAATAACTATGTGCAAAAGCTCTGGACATGCAGGCTGTCACGGAAGAGCGAATGAATGAGTATTTCTGCCAGACCTTCCCAAGCATCTTAGAACTAATCCAAGCTTCGAGACAGCTTCTAGTTTTCTATCTTTAAAGCTAGGCTTAAAGACTATGTGCCTTTTTGTTTGAAAGAACAGTAGCAAGGTGTTTGAAATATGACCACAGGATTTTCCCTCTCTGGATCTTCCCTCAGAAGAGCTAAAATTATGGTTCCTCCCAAACTAAGTTATAGCTAAGTGCACCTGTTACTGTGACATGTGCTCCGAACTGTTGGGAATATGGGCATTTTACTGATTATTACCACAAAGAACTCTGGAGTAAATTACAGATCTCTCTCTACCACCTTGGAAATATTTTGTTGTTGACTGTTTGTAGCCTTGGCTGTCCTGGGAAAGCAGTATATAAAATGGGCTACCTTTGAATTCACAGACATCAACCTCTGTCTGCCTTAAGTGCTGGGCACTAGTCTGTTTCTTAAAAGTTATCAGTTCAAATTAACACAATTCCATCTGGGGCTAACCAAGATCTTACTTTTGGTTCCACCTATGGAGGGACACACACACTAACAATCCCAGGCCTCAGGAGGCTAAGGTAAGAACATCATGTGTTTGAGGCCAGCTCGGTGTAAGGTAGTATGATGGACCATATGGTGAAATACCATCTCTTTAAAAAAAAAAAAAAAAAAGGAGAAGGAGGAGGAGAAGAAAAGAAAGACTAAAACCTGCTGGTCTTGAATAGACCAAATTAGAAAGGTTTCTTGAGCAACTTAAGCCACTGCCCCTTTACCAGGATCTCCACTGTTCTACAGAGGACTTGTATTATGGCTTCTTAAACCTGTCTATCCATAAGGAATGCCTTCCTTTGCCTGGGTCATTTTAAAGGTCTTTCAGGGCATTCTTTCCTTTCTCTAGACTGGCCTGGCTGGATCCTCTGCCAGCTTTTCTCCTAGATTCGTTTCTTTCCTTCCCCCTTCCTTGTTTGTTTGTCTTTTTTTTTTTTTTTGAGACAGGGTCTGACATTGTAGTACAGGCTGTCCTGGAACTCATTATGTAGCTGGGGCTGGCCTTAAATTACAATTCTCCTGCCTCTTTTTTCAGGAGTAATGGGACCACTGTCCCAAACTACCACTCAGCCTCTGGATTGCTATCTCTTGGTGTTGGCAAGGCGGTTCTTTATTCTGTGCCTTCCTATTGAACAAGGAGGGCCAGGCCCAATTGCAAGTGATTGGTTGAAGAGAACTTAGGAGCCCTGCCCCACTGTCAAGACTACTAACCCCATTGACTGCCTGGGCTGCTAAGCAAATCTTCACCCACTAAACAAAGGCCAACCCTCAGGGTCACCAAAAGAAGGCAAAATTGTGAGATTAGAAAAGGAGGGCAATTCCCTTCATTAAGATCCCTTTCCAAGCTCCTCCCTCTAGAGAAACAGCCCAGAAAGGGGACAAACAACCTTTGCGATCCCTTCTCCTGTGATCAATTCAACACATTTCACTTCTTCTCTAGTGTTGCAAATGAACAGTTCTGGACCACCTTTTGAAAAGCAACCCCAGGAAGCCCCTTCCCTAGTAACCCAACTAGTGTGTGCTGTTTGGCAAAGCCCCCTTCTGCAATCTCAAAGACGCTCCCCAAAAGCCCGAGGCTGAAAGCTGACGGCGACTCCACTAGAGAGAACTTGAATCTTCAGGGCTACCACAGGAGGCATTTACACCCCCCCCCCAGTTCTCCCAGCCTGGGGCTCCCCCAACCTAAGATGACTCCCCCAGAAAAGTAAACAATGCTGTCAAAGGAGGATAATACTGGGCGAGGCAAGCAAAGTGCATGCCAGCCTCGTCCCGGGGCTCTAAGCACCACCAGATAAGTCATCGTAGCGTTCCGCGCCTGATCCTTCATCTCGTTTTCCCTCCCCACAAACCCGAAGGGTTGTGTGCTTCGCAGAGTGCACGCGCTCTGCAGCACACAACCCGAGCCGCGGACGTGCCCAAGAAAGGAGAGGAAACTGTAGGTCGAGTACATAGTGCCACGCGCCAGCCGCGATGGCGGGCAGGCCCGGACGGCTCACCTCCCGGCGTGGTGGAGAACAGCGTCCCCCCGGGCGTGGTGCAGTAGTCCTGAGGTAGCTGCGCGGCGTCGCTGATGGCCACGGTGCGCGTGGGGATGGCGCGGCTCTGGCTGGGCTGGTGGCCGCCTCCTGCCGACGCGGACATGGCTCAGGCGCGGGCTCGCGGCTTTGTGCGGCGGCGGCGGCGGGGCTCGGGAGGCTCTGGTTCCTCGAGCAGGCGGAAGAGCGCACTGGGCTCTCAACTCGCCGGCTCTCACTCGGTTGCTCCGCCGCACTCCCGCTCCCACCGCCGCCGCCGCCGCCGCCGCCCGGTTCTCCGGCCTCCGCCCGCAACCTCAGCAGCAGCAGGAGCAGGAGCGGCAGCAGCGACTGTGACTACCGGAAGCGAACGAAGGCGGGAGCAAGAGGGAGGGGAAGGCAATATGGAGACCGGACGTGGCGTAAGGGGCGTGTCGAAGGAGTGGGCCGGGATCTGAGGGCGGGGCTGAGCAGGCGAAGGCGGGAGCCAAAGAGTGATCCCGGAAATCCGAAAACAGGAAGTAAGCGTAAAGGGTGGGGCCTTCAGGGTGTGCTGGGCCGGACTTGGAGGGGCGGGATTGAGCTAAGAGGAACCAAATCGAAGGGAAGGCTTGGAAAGCTTTTGTTTGTGGTGTGGTGTGTAGGTGTCAACTAGTAGTACTTTCCTGGTGCCTACTTCAGTTTCCCATCTATATTTAATAATTAAAAGTATAATTTGGGGAGGTTCCGCGGATGGTTCAGCGGATAAAGAACGGCATTTGCCACCAAGTCTGCCAACCTGAGTTCACTCCCCAGAAGCCACAAGGTGGAAGAGGGCGCAGGATGCAGGCCATGGGCATATACACACATATAAATAAATGTAATAAGAATTGTTTTTAAAAGTATGATTTTAGTCTTAATTGTTCATTATTAAATAAAGGCAATGAATGCATGGTGAACTAAGGGTTAAAAATCAGGACTGGAGAAATAGCTCAGCATTAAAAGCTGGTAGTTCCTAGCATCCACTTCCTAGCATCCATGTGGTGGCTCAGAACTATGCATGACTAGAGTTCCGGATACCCGACCTCATCTTCTGACCTCTGCAATAGCAGGCACACACACATGCATGCATGCACACATACATACTTGCATACAAAGCACTCATACAAGCTTAAGACCCATCTGTGCTACTACATAGCTAGCTAGCTTGAGGCCAGCCAGGAATACAAAAGACTGTCTGAAACAAGTAATGGAAAGTGGGGGGAGTGGGGTGAGAAGATGGGTCCACCTTTAAGATTGCTTGCTGTGCAAGCATAAAGACTTGAATTCAAACCCCATCATCCACATTTTTTTAAAAAAAATGTCTTTTAAAGATCAGACATGAGCCTGGGCGTGCTGGAATGATACGTGCCTTAAGTGCCTTTAGTCCCAGCACTCAGGAGGCAGAAGCAGGCAGAGTTCAAGGCCAGCCTAGTCTACCAAGTGGGTTCCAGAACTGGTAGGACTACACAGTAAAACCCTGTCTCAAAAAAAAAAAAAAAAAAAAAAAAAAAAAAAAAGGTCAGACATGAATTAACCCCACCGCATCCCACCCCAGTGCTGTGGAGGGCAGAAGCCAGGGTAACAGCTGGGGCTTGCTGGCTTCCATCCAAGCTCAAAGCTCAGTCAGACCCTGTCTCAAAGTGTCCTGGTTGGTTTTTTTTTTTTTTTTTTTTTTTTTTTTTTGGAATGTGGCAAAATCTAGAGTCATCTGTGAAAGAGAACCTCAATCGAGAAGGTGTCTTCACCAGATTGGAGCCTGTAGAGAATCCTATGAGGCATTTTTTTTCCATTAATTAACAGACTAATTTAAGTTAAAAGAATAAAAGAGCTAGCCAGAACCTGGTGGTGGTGGTGCAGGTCTTTAATCCCAACACTTGGGAGGCAGAGGCAGGCAGATCTCTGTGTGTTCGAGGCCAGCCTGGTCTACAGAGTGAGTTCTAGGACAGGCTCCAAAGCTACACAGAGAAACCTTGTCTCCACAAACAAAACAAAACAAAACAAAACAAAAAAAAAAAAAAAAAAAAAAAAAGGAAGGAAGGAAAATGGGTATATGTAAAGAGTTGGGTTTTTTCCGCCCGCCGCCGGTCTTGTCCCGCTGCCGCACCAGCCCCAATTAACACACAGAAACTCTGTATTAGATATAATTCTGTTGGCCAGGTACTAGTTTCTTATCAGCTAGCTCTGTCTTAGGTATTAACCCATTTCTGCTGATCTATGTATTTCTCTTACCGGGGAGCCGGCCGGCATACTGCTTTCTCCCGACTCTCCATCTTGGCTCTCCTTACTATTTCCTATTTCCTCCTTGTCTCCTAGTCCCTTCTATCTTCCTTTCCTATTGGCCAACAGTGCTTTATTCATTAACCAGTATGAGAAACATATACAGAAGGACATCTCCCATCAGGTATACAGTTATAGAAAAAAGTAATTAGTTTATAAATAACAAAAAATAGGCTGTGCCTGGTGTGATTCCATCCTGCATGTCTGTTCTGAGGAGCAGCAGTTCAGTAGACTCCTTAGTCTGACTTCTCTCACACCGAAGTGAGCACCTCTACCTCATGAAAGACATGATGGATATGAACATGAGCCCTCTTAGGCCTCAGAACTACCTAACTACCTTTTACGTTGTGAACTAAAAGCTGACAAAGATTATCACTTAAAGTGGATAATGATGAGAATGAATGCCAGTTGTCACTAAGAACAGTTAGGTTAGGGGCAGGGACAAAAGGTATATTACACATGGTAGAGGCCAAAGCAATGATCTCTGAAAACAGTCCAATTAAAGTAATACTGGAAACTTTGAAAATGTTTACAACCAACAGTCCCCTTGGGGGCTTTTAAATTACACCTGTGGCCTTATGGTTAAGGTGAGGTCCAGAGCCTGTGCATATCAGTGGACAGCACCTAGTAGTTGTAGAGGAAGATACAGAGTCACAATATGAAGATGAGGAGGATGTAAAACTCCTAAGTATGCCTGGAAAGTGAGATGGTGATAAGGTTCCACAGAAAAGAGTAAAAATTGATGAAGATGAGGATAATGAAGATGATTTTGATGATAAAGAAACTGAAGAAAAAGTTTCAGTGAAGAAATCTGTATGAGGATCCCAGCCAAAAATGCACAAAAATCAAACCAAAATGGAAAAGACTTAAAACCATCAACACCCACATCAAAAGGTCGAGTCCTTCAAAAAACAGGAAAAAATAAAATCCTAAAACCCTAAAAGGACCTAGATCTGTGAAGACATTAAGGCAAAAATGCAAGCAACTATAGAAAAAGCTGGTTCTCTTCCCAAAGTGGAAGCCAAATTCATTAGTCATGGAAAGAGTTGTTTCCAGATGACTGACCAGGAGGCAATTCAAGATCTCTGTCAGTGGAGGACATCTCTTTTATTTAATTTTTAAAAATAATTTATTTATTTTCATTTTGTGTGCATTAGTATTTTGCTTAAATGTTTGTCTGTGTGATGGTGTTGGGTCCTGGAGTTACAGGAAGTTGTGAGCTGCCATGTGGGTGCTGGGCATTAAACCTAGGTCCTCTGGAAGAGAGGTCAGTACTCTTAACCACTGAGCCATCTCTCCAGTTCCCCTGAAGGAAGCCTCTTTAAGAAAATGGTTTAGGGAATGGAGAGATGGCTCAGAGGTTAAGAGTACTGACTGTTCTTCCAGAGGACCCTGGTTCAATTCCCAACACCCACATGGCAGATCACAACTGTGTAATTTCAGTTCCTGGGGGCCTGACACTCATGATAAAACACCAATGCACATACAAATAAAAATAAATTAATAAAAATGGTTTAAACAATTTGAAATATTCCATCTTACTTAATTTCTGTAACAGTGGATATATCAGGCTTTCCTTTTTATAATGCAAAGTGAGATCTTTTCCTACTTTGTTTGATAAATGTTGTTCAGGTTCCATTGCCAAGAATGTGTTGTCTAAAGTGCCTGTTTGGTTTTCAAGGATGGAACTTCACCCTTCGCTTGATTTTAAGTATGTATGGAATGTTATGATAGGACATAGTAATAATGGTGGTCAGATGCGGAAGTGGTAGGGAGACAAAAATACATGTGAAATAAACTCAGTATTTTAATAAAGTAAAAAAAAAAGCCATGTAGATATGAAAGATATACAAGGATGTGCTCACTTTGGCAGCACATATACTAAAATTGGAAAAATACAGAGGGAGTCTGGATCCTGTATGGCATTGTGTTGTCTTTGAATTTTTTGATAAGAAAACAGCTGCTGGGTGACATGACATTGAGAAAGGGATGGCTGAATTAAACCAGCCTATATACTTTAGGTATGCCTTAACTTTAAAATGAAAGTTAAAAAATGTATTGCTTTGGGGAAGAGGTTATGGTTTTGTTTCCACAGGAAATGAAAGTTTGTGGATTCTTTCAAGCTTGATAGAGATCAGGTTTGATTGGCAAAGATTCCTGAAAATTCTGGCTACAGACATTAAGAAATAAACAACAAAACAAAACAAAAACAAAAACTACAACATAGATGATATATATTTTACCTGCTCAAACATATAAAAAAAAAAATCAACTTTGGCTGGCTTGTGTGAAATGCACAGTCCATACTTGTGTTAATGCAGGTATGTATATTACCTTTGAAAGTTTGTGTATTTTTGGAGCAAGGGAATCAGGCACTAACGAAATTGGTGGTCCAGATGATCCAGCCTCACAGACTGCAACTCTGTTGCAGTTTCTTCAGAGTTCTGTATCCAGAACATCTTCAAGACTGCTGGCTGAGATGGTCCAGCCTCACAGACTATTCTAGCCAGGACTGCAGATAATCCTTGCGCTTTCCGGTTGCACAGAGAGTGGACAATAAATGTTATAGCTGATTTCCTTAGGACTTGACCACTATCTCAATTTTCTCAGGTTCATTAAAGATGCCTTTAAACACAGGCAACAGAGGCAGTCTAGAGAACACAATGCCCGCATTCTCAAGAGGTGGAATGGGTAGATTTTGTGCTTATGGTGGGTTGTGGATATTTGTCATCATCTAGTGGGGATGTAGGAATATAGGCTAAATGACAACTATTAACCTAAAATACTTTTTGCATTGGTATAGATTTTGATAAATTGATATAAATTTAAAGTTTTTTTTTTTTTGGTTATACTGTATATATGTTTCTACTCTTGTTTGGTGTATTGTGCTTATGCAGCTCATTTAAGAATGTAATGTGCTGGTTGTGGT